GCCCAGTCTGTCTATATCTCCTATGTTATAGCAGCTGCTCAGCCCTGCATTGCGTGTGGAGGGAGGTGTTGCCTACCTAGGAGTTTTTTTTGGACAGCCTTGGAAGAGGCTACTCATGTAAAGACTCATAAAAAGCTGCTTCCTATTCAAAACCCGTGCAGTGTTTTTAATGCACAAGGGATACTGTATTGCTTTGGCGATTTTATTGTTTTTAAGGTAAACTACCCCTTTGACTCTTACTATCCTGAGGGTGGCACCCCAAATTATTTTTAAATGTTGACCAGAGTTCAAATTTAATAAAATAGCGCAAACAGCAATGATGTCTCGTAATTCATATCAGCCAATCAAAAATCAGGATTCACTTGCCTGATTGCACTTAACAGCTAAGCAGTTACTGCTGATTGCTGTGGGCCTTAGCCCATCATTGCTGTTTGCACAAGAAGCAAAAGTGTCTGAAATAAAAACGGTCTTATCTTTTCTATTGCAAGCAGATTTTTTAAACATGCTGGAGTAAGGAACATTAATAAATTGCTAGGGGCAACAGTTCTTTTTCATTCATTTTGCAAACTAGGCTTAGTGCTGCTAAAGGGACTCTCTCATGAATCACAACACCTCTGTGTGCAAAACCTCAGATTGAAAATGCCATTCTAAGCTATGGAATGGTCACCCTAAAGCCCTACTTCAACCAAAATGGTTTATTTTGCTATGAATAGAGCAGGAAAGGGTTACAGTCAGGAGCGGACTGACAATTCATGGGGCCCCCGGCAATTGGGGATCACAGGGCCTCTGTGTCCTTGACCACACTCAAAACACACCCAAAAAAAAGCCTATAAAAAGTACCAGAGGCATTTTATGGGACCCCCTACTGACCCTGTGCCCTCGGGCAGTGCCTGAGTGCTCCAATGGTCAGTCCACCCCTGGTTACAGTCACGTTTTTATTGACATGTATGTCTCTGTTAAGAATTCCACTGTCACAAGAGGAATTAATGATCAATTTCTGAAAAGGGGACCACCACCCCATTTCTTGTACAGGTGTCACACGAACAGGTATTGGGTGCTAGTCTTCCATTGCAGTCTCAGAAAGTAAAATCTGAACTAAAAAAACAGTTAAAAAAAAAAAAAAAACAGATGTCACGTGGACAGGTATTGGGTACTCATCTTCCATTGGAGTCACAGACAGTAAAACTGGAACCCAAAAAAATTTAAAAAAGTAAAACCTAACAGATTATGTAACTCTTTCCCACTCTATCTGAAATTTTTTAAAAATGGCTGGAGTTAGTCTTTAAGTGCAGGTAGTGTTACTGGCCCATAAATAGCCTGGTGGAGGTGAGTGTGGGGGATCAAAGAATAATAGCTTCAAGCTAAGGTGTCACAAGTGGGTATTTTGCTTTGCAACAGATTCCCGCTACAGCCTGTCAGTAAAAAAAAGCATGGGAACTGGCATTGCTGTTTAAAGGTGCCAGCTGCATGACTTCACTGGCTGCAATGGGGGAAGTAAGGATGACGACGACAGTTCAGGAGCAAATCTGCAATGGCAGCTTCCATATTTCGGTCTTGACAGGTTCCCTTCAAATAAAACTAATTAGTACAGCTTCAGCTTCTTTTTTGGTTTTTGGGAGATCCAACACTTTCATTTTCCTTACTTTGGCTCTGCTGAAAAAATCACATTGTAGTATGTCAAGTTGTAATTTTTCACAATATTTCCTTCAATCTTGAAAGTACTTAAGGCATTGTGGTGTTCAATGACAACAACATTTTATGTTTTCCAATCTACTCAAGCATGTCCAACTTCCTCTTCCCCCTCGCTCTCCCATTCATCCTGCGAGTTGCCTTCATCTTCACTTCCTCCGGCCCACCTGTCCTCTCCATACTGAATTTCTTCTTCAACATCCTCTTCCTTCTGCTCATTCTTGACATCTTCTTCTTTCCCTTTTTCATCCTCCCGTTCTGCCCTGAGGCTAACAATTAAGACCAGTGTCTGTAAAACCACATAAAGTGATGTCAGCTGTAAGATGTACTCTTGGGCCAGCCAAAGGAGGAGATACATGCCATATGTTGTGGCCAAGAAGACAGCCACTCCATGGATCCACAGCTGGAGGGCTCCTTGGATTCCGAAAACATCCAATGTTATCCGAAAAACAGGAGAAAAGAGCCAGAGGCAGCCAGATGCACATACATCTATTATATGGTGGACCAGGTTGATGCAGATCTGAAAATGTTCACTTTCAATGTTTGAATGGATAGTTGGTTTTGGGTTGTCGCGGTTCCTCAGTGATGGGAGGTATGACCGAAGAGTGGATATATTTGGCAGAGGTATTTCTGGGAAAGTCCATTGTCTAGCTTTTTGCGGTGAGCTTTCTGGATGTGATGGAGTACCTTTTGAAGAACTAAGGAATTTAGAAAAGAAGGCCGGTGGTGATGGCCACTTCATAGACCGATGGAGGAACATCTAGACAGATAAAAAAGAAAGAAGTCAGCTCAAGTAAATAACATTAAAGTGAACCTATCTGCTATATTAAACCATTCAAAGTAATACAATGGCCTTGGAGCAGACAACACATGCTTCCTGCTACTACCTTTGGTATCCAGAAAACCTCCTTCTGAAAGCAGTTTTACCTTGTAGTCTGATTTCAGGGTTGAGCCTTGCCAACTGTTACATCACTGTCCAAAATGTGCGCCACAGTGGTTAGCGTTCTTAGTCTTGAGGTCAATTAACACCTTGGTGCCCGAGCATACGCAAATATGTGACCTCTCACTGGCTGGGCCTTGGCATTGAGGGGTGGCATATTTACGTATGCAATGTAAACAAAATATGTGCTGAGAGCGTGTGCTCTGCACTCTCCCGGCATATTTACAGGCGCCTCATGAAAAAGGTCCCGATCACTACCTGTGGTCCAGAGCTTTCCGATCACGTGACCACTGTGACAGCTAAAACACAGCGGTCATATGACCCTAAACCCTACCTCCCGATGTCACAAACCCCTTAAGGCTAGGTTCATATATGTGTGGGTGGTGCCGTTGCGGATCCGCACAAAAATCCGTGCAGCTGCACCACCAACACACATTAATTCTAATGGCACGCCGCTCACATTGGAAATCGCAACCGCACTGGGAACCGAGGCTCCCGTGTGGGCTACGGTTTCCAAAGAAGTCCCGTGGCATGGGAGTCCATTCAAATGAATGGGCTCTCGTGCCCATGCAAAATGTGGCCCATACAGCCGCATATATGTGAACCAGGGGTAAGGGGCTGGGAGGCGCTATCGCCAAGGGGTTAGTTCACCTTTACTGAAAACTGCCTATACAGGAGTGGCTGTAGATAGAAAAAAATAAAACTCTACAGCTCTGACTAAAATTAAATAATGCCCTTGCTATAAGTGTAGGCCATTTACGTACCTCCTGAAGCCTGACTGGAATACTCCCAGGGGGTTGCTGGGATGTTTCTAAGAGAGGCCTAGTCATTACTGCGCACCTCCTCCATTACAGGAGTGAGCCCTTTCTCTGATTCAAACCCCCAAACGTGCTCTTTCTCCCCCCTGATACAGTAGCTTTGAATCAGCGTCTGAGAGCTCACTCCTGTGATGGTGGGGGTGAGCAGTAATGACTAGGCCTCACTTAGCAACATCCTAGCAATGTCCTCGGATATTCCAGTCAGACTTCAGGTGGTATGTAAATGGCCTACACCTATAGCAAGGGCATTATTCAACTTTAGTCAGAGCTGCACAGTTTTTTGTACAGCAATCTCCCTGCTGAGCTCTTGTGTTCTGACAGGGGAACTCTTTCCCCCCCCACTCCCTTTCCACCAGAACACATTGGTCAGTGCTCGCAGCCATTGGCTGCCAGCACTGATCAGATGCCGATCAGCTGAGTGTTTTCCAGCATGCTTGTTCAACAGAAGCCGGATGTTAGGCTGCTGTACACACTGGCTGAATGTTGGCCGGTTGTGTACCAGCCTTGGGCTCCATTCAGACTTCAAAATCATGCAATTTTCATTGCAACTTTACAACGCACTTAAATAACTCAGGTGCCACTTTGAAGGGTTTACATTGAAGTCGCATGAAAGTCGGACCAAAGTGGTACAGGAACTACTTTCAAGTCACTGCGACTTGAAGTCACACAGATATGAAGGGTACTCATTGGGAAACATGGGGCACGATTTGTCAAGCGGCTTTGGACCCCAATGTCGCATGACAAGTCGCACAAGTGTGAATGGGCTCTTAAAGGGTAACTCCATTTTCATAAGAAAAAAAAACAAGTAAAAAAATAATATTAATATAGTGTATACAATTGTGACCCTAGTCATATTGTAATTGAACGTTATTAAAAATTACCTTTCCTTTTCAATCTACAGCACTGTAATTTTCTGTAAAATGCAATATGGCTACCTGGAGGCGTTCTGTATACAGATGGTGTACAGAACGCCCCCTGAAAATGTAATTTCCTGCTTGTGTGGTTGACTCATTGATTTTCCCAGAAGTCTGCACTAAGATACAAGATGCAACACTGTACCCATATGAATTTTTTAGCATTTTTTTGAGACAGATAAAACTTTATTTTGGTGGTATTTATTCACCTCTGGGGTTTTTATTTACTTTTTTTTGCTATATAAATGAAAAAGTCCAAAAATTTTGAAAAAAACTTTTTCTTATAAAATTTAGCAAATAAATAATCTTTCTTCATAAAACTTGGCCAAAATTTATTTGGTTATCTTTTTAGTATATAAAAAAAAAAATAACCCAAATTTGTTTATAACCAAAAATTATAATTTTTTCAAAAATGTTTTACATTTTTATTTCATTTTTTTATATTATCTATGTTTTTTTGTTTTTTTTTAAATATACGGTCACCCTAGCAGTACAGTGTCACCATAGTGACACTGTACTACTTGTGGGGCTTGATGAATATTTTTTTTTTTTTTACACTGATTGCTTTTACACACCTAAAGGCTGTAAAAGCAATCATTACTCCTTCTCTCTGGCTGCATTCTTGCAGCCATTGAGAAATACTGTGAGAGCTGTGATTGGTCACAGCTTGTCACATGGTACAATGCTGTTGTGAATAGCCTTGTACCATGTGCCCTTGGTGATCTTTCACACATTTCGCTAGTAGTAAGCAATGATGTCAGGAAGTGACATCTTGCTTACTACTATTCGAGTGATCCCTGATTGGCCAATCAGGGATCACATGAATCAGGACTTCACACAGAGGACACAGTGGGCTCCGGATCGCGGTGCCGCGCGCTCCCAGGGAACGCACACAGCCTGAAAATGCGGGCACCGTTTATGAACGGCAACCCGCCCCTGCACTGCTCCCGTCCAGCTGTTTATGTACATGGGCTGGCCGGGAAGTAGTTAAATGCAAAACATTGTGTTTTTGGTTCAATAGACTTCAATGGAGACACTGCAGAAATACATGTAGTGCGTTTTTTAATGCGTTTTCATCTGCCCAGCAACAAGGTGTACCTTGTATCTTCAGTGTAACATGAAACATGGTAAGTGTGCACAGCCCACTATCCCAAAACCACCCCCCTACAGGATTGTGGAAAGAAAGAAGACCCTGTCCGGCTCTGCTTACACAGCTATGTCACTCATTCAATGGAATCTGTCAATGAAAAACTGCAAAGTCCCATCTGCCACTGCGGCAGAGGGACTATAGGGACATCACAGCACTTGTAGTCCATTGATACTTCCTCCAGCTGTATCTCAGGACCTGGAGCTAGACGAATAGTCTGCAGGAGCCAGAGCATTGCACCCAAGCTTCTTTTTGAGATATATATATATATACACACACACATACACACACACACTATATTGCCAAAAGTATTGCCTTTTCACGCACATGAACTTGAATGGCATCCCAGTCTTAGTTCGTAGGGTTCAATATTGATTTGGCCCACCCTTTGCAGATATAAGAAGGCTGTCCACAAGGTTTAGGAGGGTGTCTATGGGAATGTTTGACCATTCTTCCAGAAGCACATTTGTGAGGTCAGGCATTGATGTCGGACGAGAAGGCCTGGCTCCCAGTCTCAATTCTAATTCATCCCAAAGGTATTCGATGGGCTTGAGGTCAGGACTGTGCAGGCCAGTCAAGCTCCTCCACTCCAAACTCGCACATCCATGTCTTTATGGACCTTCCTTTGTGCAGTCATGTTGGAACAGGAAGGGGACATTCCCAAACTGTTCCCACAAAGTTGGGAGCATGAAATTGTCCAAAATCTCTTGGTATGCTGATGACTTAAGAGTTCCCTTCACTGGAACTAAGGGGCAAAGCCCAACCCCTGAAAAACAACCCCACACCATAATCCCCCATCCACCAAACTTTACACTTGCACAATGCAGTCAGGCAAGCACCATTCTCCTGGCAACCCCCAAACCCAGACAAGTCCATCGGATTGCCAGACAGAGAATCATGATTCATCACTCCAGAGAACACATCTCCACTGTTCTAGAGTTCAGTAGCGGCGTGCTTTACACCACTGCTACCGATGCTTTGCATTGCACTTGGTGATGTAAGGCTTGGATGCAGCTGCTCAGCCATGGAAACCCATTCCATGAAGCTCTCTACACACTGTTGTTGTGCTAAACTGAAGGCAACACGAAGTTTGGAGGTCTTTAGCTATTGACTCTGCAGACAGTTGGCGACTTCTGCGCACTGTGCCCTTCAGCATGCGCTGACCCCGCTCTGTCATTTTAAGTGGCCTATCACTTGGTGGCTGAGTTGCTGTTGTTCCCAATTGCTTCCACTTTGTTATAATCCCACTAACAGTTGACCGTGGAATATTTATTAGCCATGCAATGTCATGGATGGACTTATTGCACAGGTGGCAACCTATCACGGTACCATTCTTGGAGTCACTGAGCTCCTGAGAGCGACCCATTCTTTCACAAATGTTTGTGGGAGCAGTCTGAATGCCTAGGGGCTTGATTTTATACTTTCGGCAATATAGTGTACATGTATGTATATATATATATATATATATATATATAATATACACACATACATACACACACACATAGTATATACATATACATAAGTAACTCCACAATCCATCTCAAGATTTTTCTGTGAATGTTGCAGTGGATTTTATTTGTTTCTATACATATCAGCACAAAGGAAAGTCCTATCTTCAGGGAACACTGATCCCTTGTCTTGTTGCCTCAGTATATGAAGCAGCTGTGTTCTTTTTGGTGATATTGGTTAACGTGGATGTCCTTCTCCTCCGGTGTTGTGACATGCAGCCCTCTGACCCTTACATTCTTACATTCTGCCAGAGGTCAGCTATACATAAAAATAGGCCTCAGATTGAGTAACAGAGAATTAGCTGCAGGGAGCAAACAAATGCAGTGACAAGTAGGAACACGTATACCGCATGGGTGCTGGTAGAAACCTATAGTGGCATTATAATGAACTAAAAATAAGTCACTATGACAGCTCACTTACTAAAAGGGCCCATTAACATCAATTGTAACACTCGCTACATGCATTGCCAGTTATTATGCATGGCGCCCCAATGCACCTTAAAACATATACTGTATTCGCTGTAACATGTGAATGTGTCCTTATGTAAAGACCCTTTCACACCGTTGCCTTGCGGTATTGCATGCTTTGCTGCAATGCACAGTAACGCTCATTACCTGAATAGTATCCCAATGTGCTATAAACACAAACATGCCCTGCAACGCACTGCAGAAAAACACATGGTGTACAGTGCGTTGCGCGAGAAATGCAGCCAGCCCTACTTTCTTACACATCATTCATTTTGAATAGGCTGTTTAGTATACTGCAACGTGTTACTGCATGACAAAGCGTGTGCTGCAGCACAGAGCATTGTGGTGTAAATAGGTTCTAAATCCTTTACGCATAAAGCGTTACACAACAAGCATTGTTAAAGCCAAATTGAACCTTCTGTAATGCAGTCAGGCTACATACTTATACAAAAATAAATATGCCTCTTCTTTATTAGCTAATCATCTGCTGCAGCAAGGCTTAAAATGGTTGGAAAGTAAACATTAAAAAAAAAACCAAAACATGTCTATACTTACCTGCTCTGTGCAATACAATTGCACAGAGCAGGACCGATCCTCCTTTGCTCAGGTCCCTCGATAGCGCTTCTCCTCTCTTGCTGGTGCCCCCCCAATTGTCAGCCGATTCCCATGGGGGCACTCATGCGGGCTCACTCTCAATTCCTGCTGCTGTATCCATTGACACAGACAGCGGGACTTGGCTCTGCCTCTCACTACCTCGTGACTGGAGTCAATAGACAGGAGAGGAAGCCAATGGCTCCTGCTGCTATTGATCTGCCGAGTGAGGAAGGACAAAGCCAGGAGAGCTGCAGCTCCCATGCACATCACTGAATTGTAATGGGGCTCGGGTAAGTATAAGGGGGGGGGGGGGGGGGGACATTCTGTTACACAGAAGGTTTTTTACCTTAAAGTGTTTCTAAACCCCGGACCCTGCAGTCACTATATCTGGTCTCCAAGGACCCTGCATTCACTATATCTGGTTTCCACGGACTCTGCATTCACTATATCTGGTCTCCCATGACCCTGCATTCACTATATCTGGTCTCCCAGGACCCTGCATTCACTATATCTGGTCTCCCAGGACCCTGCATTCACTATATCTGGTCTCCCAGGACCCTGCATTCACTATATCTGGTCTCCCAGACACTATATCTGGTCTCCCAGGACCCTGCATTCACTATATCTGGTCTCCCCGGACCCTGCATTCACTATATCTGGTCTCCCCGGACCCTGCATTCACTATATCTGGTCTCCCCAGACCCTACATTCACTATATCTGGTCTCCCAGGACCCCGCATTCACTCTATCCGGTCTCCCCCCCGGACCCCGCATTCACTATATCCGGTCTCCCCGACCCCGCATTCACTATATCCGGTCTCCCCGGACCCCGCATTCACTATATCCGGTCTCCCAGGACCCTGCATTCACTATATCTGGTCTCCCAGGACCCGGCATTCGCTATATCTAATCTCCCACAGTACACACAACATGGAAATGCAATTATTTTAGTAAATATAAACTGCTAAATACCTTTTCTCATCAGCAGTTAGAGCAATCTTGTGACTTCTATCAGTGTCCAGCAGAGCACTGGTTAAAGCTTGTAGGAGGAGTTTTCATTCTACTCTAGGAGGATGCAGAACCCCTGACCTCTGTCTGGACAGCACTGATTGGCCCTGCGCTGATCACATGCACTTTCCCATGAAAAAAAAACCCTCTCTAGCAATACACACCAAACTGAGTAAATCCACATGATATGTCTTAATAGGAGATAAGAGGAGAACATTGGAAGAAGGGGAGGAACAGAGAAGACAAGATCAAACAGCCTTTTCCTGTTGTGGGTTTAGTAATACTTTAATGCACAGAATAAATTAAAGTAAAAAAAACCTTGAGGCTTTAGAACCACTTTAAAAACCTGTGTTGAAGCACATAGGAAATTTCCCCTCACTTCCTGTCCCAAAGCCAAAACAGGAAGTGGGATGATATCCCTTCGAGGTAGAGAAATCCTTGGTTGCACCACACTCACAAGAATTGGTGTCCCCATTGGAAGACTTTCCCTCTATTTTTGATCTGGCAACAACTCAAAATTTGTGATCTTCTCCCCAACAGGGGCACAGACATCAATAAAAACCCTACAAGGGTTCTAAACCTCTCCACTTTATACAAAACTAGAAAAAAATCTGACTTTACATGTAACACTTTAAAGTTTTAAAACAGGGACAGCCAGGCAACTAGCATTGTTAAAAGGAGCTCAGCAATGGAATCATCTGTATTTGTCTCCGTGCAGATATTCTTTACTGATTTATATATAGTGTCTTTATTTCTGTGACAACAGACATAATACAAACAAGGGCGGGTAATACACATAGTACAAGAACATGTCAGATGACGAGTGCATTACGAAAGAGGGAGGGAGAGAAAGAGAGAAACAGGGAGGGAAAAAGAGAGAGAGAAAGAGGGAGAATGAGAGAGGAAGAGGGAGAATGAGAGAGGGAGAGAAAAAAAAGAGAGAGAGGGAAGAGGAAAGGAGGGAGAGTGAGAAAGAGGAAGGGAGGGAGAGAGAGAAAACGGAAAGGAGGGAGAGAAAAAGAAAGAGGAACGGAGGGAGAGAGAGAAAGAGGAAAGGAGGGAGAGAGAGAGAGAAAGAAAGAGGAAAGGAGGGAGAGAGAGAGAAAAAGAGGAAAGGAGGGAGAGTGAGAAAGATGAAAGGAAGGAGAGAGAGAAAGAGGAAAGGAGGGAGAGAGAGAGAAGAGAAAAGGAAAGGAGGGAGAGAGAGAAAGAAAGCGGAAAGGAGGGAGAGAGAGAAAGAAAGCGGAAAGGAGGGAGAGAGAGAGAGAAAGAAAGATGAAAGGAGGGAGAGAGAGAGAGAAAGAAAGAGGAAAGGAGGGGGAGTGAGAAAGAGGAAAGGAGGGAGAGAGAGAAAGAGGAAAGGATGGAGAGAGAGAAAGAAAAAGGAAAGGAGGGAGAGGGGGGATGGGGAGGGGAGAGAGAGAGGGGAGAGAGAGAGAGAGAAGGAGAGAGAGGGAGGGAGGGAGGGAGTGAGAGAGAAGAAGGGGGGGGGAGAGAGGTAATGGAACTGATAGGTGGAATAGAAGATTCCATTATAAGCTGAAGGCGGGATAGGCTTCCCTGAAGAGATAGGTTTTCAGAGAACGCCTAAAAGTGGGCAGAGTAGGCTATAGTCTGATAAATTGGGGTAGAGAGTTCCAGAGGATGGGGGAGATGCAACGGCTGTACAATCTTCCTGCATATGCCTTGTGCTTACAGCCATATAGAGAGGGATGCAAAGCTCTAGATAGTGGTCTCTAAACTGCGGCCCTTTGATTGCCTTTATCTGGCCCTTAAGGGAACTAGTCCTCCCACTGATATGAGGCACCATTCCTCCCACTAACACCAACATTGGGACAGAATTCCTCCCACTGGTATAGACTAAAGAAAACTATTACTTCCACTAATACTAAAGATGGTGCACTTTTCCTCCCACTGGTACCATCATTGGGGTACTGTTCCTGCCACTGACATCAACAATGGGGCATAATTCCATCCACTGATATAAAATATAGAGCATTATTACTCCTGCTAACACTAAAGATGGGGCACTTTTCCTCCCACTGATACCATCGATGGTGCACTACTCCTGCCACTGACACCAATGCTGGAGCACCAGTCCTTCCCTAACACCAATATTGGGGCACCGGTCCTTCCACTGACACCAATATTGGGGTACATTTTCTTTCATTGATACCAGTTTTGGGGAACCATTCCTTCCACTGACATCAATGTTGGAGCACCAGTCCTTCCCTAACACCAATAATGGGACACCAGTCCTTCCACTGACACCTGTATTGGGCCACATTTTCTTTCATTGATACCAGTTTTGGGGAACCATTCCTTCCACTGACATCAATATTGGAGCACCAGTCCTTCCTTAACACCAATGATGGGGCACCGGTCCTTCCACTGACACCTGTATTGGGGCGCATTTTCTTTCATTGATACCAGTTTTGGGGAACCATTCCTTCCACTGACATCAATGTCGGGGCACCAGTCCTTCCCTAACACCAATGATGGGGAACCATTCCTTCCACTGATACCAATAAGAGGGAGCTATTCCTTCTACTGACACCAATGATTGGGCACTATTGCTGCTGCATTTTCCATTCCCTCTGGTTACAGTCCGGCCCCCCTAAAGTCAGAAGACCAGAAAACTGGCCCTATGTTCAGAATGTTTGGAGACCCCTGCTCTAGATGAAGATCACTTGCGTCCAGACCTGTGTGGCCATCCCTGTATAGATGTAAACACTGGTTTGTGCTGGAAGATCTATTCAACTGCTGCGTCTTCCGTGTTGTCATTGATTTTGAAAGGTTTACTGCATGAAACACCTATCAGGTGCATAAACATAACCCTCTGCACATGGTATGGATCTATTCACTGCTGTAAATGAATATTTATATAGATCATTATACAGATCAGTAGCTTAAACCCCCTTCCTGTCCAGCCCTGGCGTCCCTTTAACTTGACTATTACGCCTGGGGTCTGCCTGATCATACAACTGTGATTGGCTGTCACAGTGATCACATGATCAGGAGCTGGTCCTGTTGGCTCCAGATCAATAACAGAGACTAAGGCTGGCCATACATTATACAATTATCTGGAGATTTTTGGTTTAGATTTACCAAAAACCATATAATAGGAGGACAAACCTAAACAACACTTTCAGCTGTATCCAATTAGGCAGGCCCTTGCACTACACAGTTGAAGGTAAATCTAAAGGAAATTGGGCAGAAAATTGGAAGATAATTGTATAATGTATGGCCAGCCTTAGGCTGGCCATACACTATACAATTTTCTGCCCAATTTCCTTTAGATTTACCTTCAACTATGTAGTGCAAGGGCGTGCCTAATTGGATACAACTGAAAGTGTTGTTTAGGTTTGACCTTGTATTATATGGTTTTTGGTAAATCTAAAGCAAAAATCTCAAGAAAATTGTATAATGTGTGGCCAGCCTAATGCAGGCCATAGATGGGTCGAAAAATCGGCCGATTTTCGGATCGTTAGTGGGCTAAATGTTCGGCCGTTTTTTGGTATTTTGGCAGATTTTTTTTATCGGTAAAGTTGGAAAAAAAATCGGCCGATTTTCGCGGCAATGATGGGCAATCGGCCGATCTTTTACCGATAAAAAAATCTGCACATGACCCGTGACCTGCAAGAGGAAGACAAAAAGAATAAGAAAAAAGAAGAGGATGGAGAAGAAGAAGAAGGAGAAGGGGAAGAGAAGAAGAGGATGAAGAAGTAGAAGAGGATGGAGAAGAAGAGGATGAAGAAGAAGAAGAGGAAGAAGAAGAAGAGGAAGAAGAAGAAGAGGAAGAAGAAGAAGAAGAAGGAGGATGAAGAAGAAGAGGAAGATGAAGAAGAGGATGAAAAAGAAGAAGAAGGAGGATGAAGAAGAAGAGGAAGATGAAGAAGAGGATGAAAAAGAAGAGGATGAAGAAGAAGAGGATGAAGAAGATGAAGAAGAAGATGAAGAAGAGGATGAAAAAAGAAGAAGAAGAGGATGAGGATGAAGAAGAGGATGAAGAAGAGAAGATGAAGAAGAAGAAGAGGATGAAGAAGAAGAAGAGGATGAAGAAGAAGAAGAAGAGGATGAAGAAGAAGAGGAAGAAGAAAAAGAGGATGAAGAAGAAGAGGAATTCCAGTATGGCAAAAAGAGTCCCTGCAGAGAGCTCCGCTATTTCTTTGACAGTTCATTGACATTTATAGCGGTTGCAACATTGTATCTATTTGTTTCCGAATAAAAACATCTGTATCCTAAATGGATACAAATAGATACATTGTTGCAACCGCTATAAATGTCAAGGAACTGTCAAAGAAATAGCGGAGCTCACTGCAGGGACACTTTTTGCTGGCTGTAAACGGGATGAAAATCGGCCGATTTTTTTTTACCGTTGCTGGTAACGTCGGCCGCTTGAACGACCGATTTTTTGGTTTTTTAAAAGAAAAATCGGCCGATTTTCGACCCGTCTATGGCCTGCATAAGGCTAGGTTCACAACTATGCAGGTTGCGTTTGAGCTGTTTCTACATTGGATCTTGAGTTGCATTTTTGCTTTGTTTTTTATGCATTTTTATTCTTGTTGCTAGGCAGATTTAAAATGCAAAATGCAGCAAAAACGCATAAAAAATGCAATACATGCTTTTCTGCAGCGTTTCTATTGAAGTCTATAGAACCAAAAATGCTACTTTTTGCATTCAAAAAAATCCCTGACCCTTTCCAAAAAACTCACTGGCTGAAAACGCGCAGATGTGAACCTGTCCCATAGGAAATCATGTTAAATAGACTGTACTGCGTTTCTATAAAACGCAGCAGAAAATGCTTAGGTGTGAACCTAGAGTAAGAGCTGTTTTTGACAGCTCAGTCCCTGTGTTGGAAGTGCGCAGTAAGCATGTTCTCACCACAAAAAAACTACTGCTGCCTACGTGCTGGCATGTAGGCATGAAGGCCCACCCTCTTTGCCGACACACGTGTTATATGGACAGCAAGAGGTTAAAGCCCGACTCCAGGCACAGAAAAAAAAAAAAAAATACCCCCTGCAGTGGCCTCCACCCCCCTACCCCCGCATATACTGTACATTGCAAGGGATAAATGCTCGTTAAGGCTCGGTTCACACTTCTGTGACTTGGGATCCGACTTGTGAGACGCATGGCATATGTGAGACGCATGGCCATACACTATACAATTTTCTTGAGATTTTTGGTTTAAATATACCAAAAAAACATAATATGAAGTCAAACCTAGCAACACTTTCAATTGTATCCAGTTAGGCAGGCTCTTGCACTACAAAGTTGAAGGTAAATCTAAAGGAAATTGGGCAGAAATTGGACAGAAAATTGTATAGTGTATGGCCAGCCTAAGTCAACGAGAGCTGTCTTGACCACCTCCCGACCGGCCGTTGCATATAAACGGCCGGACGGTGGCACTGCAGTTCAAGGTGGCTGTTTATAAACGGCCTCCCCGCACCCTGCTTGTGCGTGCTCCCTGGGAGCGCGCAGCACTGTGATCCGGTGCTCGCTGTGTCCTCCGGACACAGTGGAACACCGATCGTCGGACGGGACCTCGTACATTGCTTACTACGTGTGAAATCTGTGAATGATCACAGAGGTCACATGGTACAGGGCTATTCACAACAGCCTTGTACAATGTGACAAGCTGTGACCAATCACAGCTCACTCTGTCTGCAAGAATGCAGACAGAGAGAAAGAGAAATTATGGCTTTTACAGCCTTTATGGGTGTAAAAGCAATCAGTGTAAAAAAAAAAAAATCTTCATCACCCCCCCACAAGTAGTACAGTGTCACTATGGTGACACTGTACTGCTAGGGTGACAGTATGTAAAAAAATAAATAAATAATAAAAAAAAAAACTAAAAATGTAAAAAAAAAATGTTTAAAAATTATAATTTTTGGTTATAAACTAATTTGACTTATTTTTTTTTTTTTTACTAAAAAGATAACGGAATACATTTTGGCCAGGATTTATGATGAAATACTATTTATTTGCAAAATTTTATAAGAAAAACACTTTTTTGAAATTTTTTGGACATTTTCATTTACATAGCAAAAAAATAAAAATCCCAGCGGTGAATAAATACCACCAAAATAAAGCTTTATCTGTCTCAAAAAAATGCTAAAAAATTCATACAGGTACAGTGTTGCATGACCGCACAATTGTCATTCAAAGTGTGATAGCGCTGAAAGCTGAAAATTGCCCTGGTCAGGAAGGGGGTGAAAGTGTCCAGACTGGAAAGTGGTTAATTAGCACCACTGAAGTTGCTCCTGTACTACATCAAGGCGACTTCTATCCAACTTGTGCCCATAGACTTTAATGGAAGTCGCCTCCAAGTCGGATCCTAGTCTATATTGATGTGATTTGGATCCAACATTACAGGAAGATTGCCCAGGTGTTCCCTGAAAGTTGCTTCAGAGTTGCATGACTTTCAGGTCGTAGTAGTGTGAACTGAGACTTAGGCTGGCCATACATTATACAATTTTCTTGAGAATTTTGGTTATAATTTACCAAAAACCATATAATATGAGGTCAAATCTAAACAACACTATCAGTTGTATCCAGGGGTGGACTGACCATTTGGAAACTCGGGCAGTTTCGAGGGCCCGGAGTCAGTAGGGGGGCCCCATGAGATGCCCCTGGTACCTTTTTCATAGGCTCTTTTGAGTTTGGGCAAGGACACAGGGGCCCCATGATCCCCTATTGCCCGGGGGCCCCATAAGTTGTCAGTCCGCCCCTGGTTGTATCCAATTAGGCAAACTCTACATAGCTGAAGGTAAATCTAAAGGAAATTGGACAGAAAATTGTATAGCTTATGGCCAGCCTAATGCAGGCCATAGACGGGTCGAACATTGGCCGATTTAAAAAAAAAAAAAAAAAAATGAAAAATCGGTCGTTCGTTCGGCCGACATTACCACCAACGGTAAAAAAAAAAAAAAAAATCGGCCGACAAAATCATAACGTTCACCCCATAACTTCTGTCCCTTGCAGGTCACAGCTCATGCGCGGATTTTTTATCGGTAAAATGATCAGCAGATTTGCCCATCATTGCCGGGAAAATCGGTCAATCGTCAAAATCGGCCGCAAATTTTCCAACATGACCGATAAAAAAAACTGCAAAAAACCCGAAAAAAAAATGGCCGACCAATTAACCCACTAACAGTGCGAAAATCGGCCGATTTTGTTCGGCTGAAAAATTGGCCGATTTTTGACCCGTCTATGGCCGGCCTTAGTGTAGGGTTTTGCAGAAGAGGCTGTGATACTCACCTTCTCTATGTGATACTCCTTCAATCCGTGAGACCAGTCTGCCACAGCCTCCCCTGTAAGCTGCCTATTAGCCCTGCACATGATGATGTCAAAGCTCCGCCCACAGAACGTAACTTCAGGGACAGAATGCATGGAATACAGCCCCTTCTGCAACCTCCTACTTTAAGTCACCGTTCATACCACTGCAATTTAAAATTTAATTTCAGCACAATTTCAGGTGCGATTTCTGAAGATTTTATTGCGACTTGTGAAGATTTTCAATGATTTCTTGCGATTTCCATTATATTCTATGTATGTGAAATCCTAATAAACTGCAGAAAAAGTCATGCAAGAACCACTGCAGCAAATCGCACGTTAGGACACTGACATTCACATTCATTAGATGAGATTTCAATTTGCACATCGCACCTGAAATTTCACCAGTATGACCGGGCACTTAGCAAGCATTTAATCCTTGCAGTGAAGGGGGTACCCTACTGCAAGGATTGTGCCCAGCAGGGTCTCCATGCCCGGCAGGCAAACAATAAATGCGTCAGCACAACATTCTGCAGTGGAACTATTTCAATGATGACGTCATGGTGTCACTCTGTAGTCCAAGCTGACACAGCACACACAACTGCTGTCAACTTGAGGTTCGGGGGAAGGGAGGTAAAAATGACTCATTCTTTTATCTGAAGTATTCAATCAGGCAGAACTAGCCTCAAGGCAGGCTGCTTTGGGCTGTTCTGTCTATTTAGTTAACCCATGGTGCTCTTTGTTGTGTATTAAATGTTTATATGTAAAAGCAATGATTGTACATATAGCACAATATACTATCACAGACAGGGGCGGACTGATCATTTGGATACTCGGGGGCACTGCCGAGGGCCCGGGGTCAGTAGGGGCCCCATGAGATGCCCCTGGTACCTTTTTCATAGGCTTATTTAAGTTTGACAAGGACACAGGGCCCCATGATCCCCTATTGCCCGGGGGCCCCATGAGTCCATGAGTTGTCAGTCCGCCCCTGATCACGACCTATCAATCCTTAATCACTTCCACACCACCCTATAGCTGAAATACTGCTACAGGGCGGCATGGCTGAGCAAAATCACGTATGTATATATGCCCGGTGCAGGGGCGGACTGACAACTCATGGGGCCCCCGGGCAATAGGGGATCATGTGGCCCCTGTGTCCTTGCCCAAACTCAAAAAAGCCTATGAAAAAAAAGTACCAGGGGCATCTCATGGGACCCCCTGCTCACCCGGGCCCTCGGGCAGTGCCCGAGTTTCCAAATGGTCAGTCCGCCCCTGCCACGCCGCCATTCGCTGCTTCGGCTGTCAGTCACTGAGTATTACCAACAGATTACCAATACAGATCTCTCCCCTGTCAGCTCCTGCACACTGCTTTGTATGGCTCTGCATAGCACAGCCATACAAAGCAGTGTGCTTACAGTGAAACACACACACAGCCCACATAGTAAAACAGCACACAGTTAACCCTTTCATCACCCCAGATGTTAACCCCTTCCTGCCCAGTGCCATTAGTACAGTGTCAGTGCTTTTTATAAGCACTGATCACTGTATTGGTCTCACTGGGGATGTCAGTGGCCGTTAGTTCCCCTCCGTGTCAGAATGCTTGCCGCAGTCCCGCTATAAGTCACTGATCACCGCCATTACTAGTAAAAAATAAAAATAAAATCCCGGTATCTATACCGCCATTTGTAAACGCTATAACTTTCACGAAAACTAATTAATTTACATATATTGGGATTTTTTTAGAAAAGACATCGCAGAATACATTTTGGCCTTAATATATGATGAAATTAGATTTTTTTTTTATTTTTTTACTGGAATGTTTTATAGCAAAAAGTCAAATAGTTTTTTTCTCAAAATAGTTTTTTTTTTTTTTTTTTTTTATAGAGCAAAAAATAAAAATGCACAGGTGATTAAATACCACAGAAAGAAAGCTCAATTCATGGGAAAAAAAGGACGTAAATTTCATCTGGGAGCGGCATTGCATGACCGCGCAATTGTCAGTTAAAGTAACGCAGCGCCGTAACGCAAAAAATGGCCTGGTCAGGAAGGGGGGGGGGGGAATCCTTTAAGAGGGCAAGTGGATAAAGATACCCCTAATACTAAATGAACCCCTTCTACAACATACTCACCTTATCCCACCCTGGGAGAGTCTGCGATGAGCCCTGACTGCAGGATCCGAGGACAAGGGATCCTCACTGCTGGGACTTTTACTTCCACAGCAGATGGTGAAGCAGATGGTGTGTGCTGACGCAGCTCAGCCAGTGGAGACACACAGCAGTCAAGCATGTAAATGACCTTTTCTGATCCTCGGAATACGACTGTCATTGTATACAGAGATTCTGCTGGAAAATCTCTTGGTAAACCTATTGGTGACTCTTCCTGTATTTGGAGAAAAAAAAACTTTCGACACATGCAAGACTTTTATTCATTAACCAACATAGAAGATTGCAGCTGTTCCTTAAATCACAGGACTTATGCAGGCCATAGATGGGGAGAAAACCAGCCAATTTTTCTTTAAAAAAACGAAAAATCGGTCGTTTAATCGGCCGACCTTACCAGGAACGGTAAAAAAAAAAAAAAAAAACGTCCGATTTTCATCCCGTCTACAGCCGGCAAAAAGTGTCTCTGCAGAGAGCTCCGCTATTTCTTTGACATTTATAGCGGCTGCAACATTGTATCTATCTGTATTTGTATCCATTTCGGATACAGATGTTTTTATTCGGAAACAGATACATTGTTGCAGCCGCTATAAATGTCAAAGAACTGTCAAAGAAATAGCGGAGCTCTCTGCAGAGACACTTTTTGCCGGACTGGAATTCTTCTTCTTCTTCATCCTCTTCTTATTCTTCTTCATCCTCTTCTTCTTCTTCTTCATCCTCTTCTTCTTCTTCTTCATCCTCTTCTTCTTCTTCTCCTCTTCTTCTTCATCTCTTCTCTTCTTCTTCATCCTCTTCTTCTTCTTCATCCTCCTCTTCTTCTTCATCATCCTCTTCTTCTTCTTCATTCTCTTCTTCATCCTCTTCAGCCTCCTCTTCTTCTTCATCCTCCTCTTCTTCATCCTCTTCTTCTTCTTCATCCTCCTCTTCTTCATCCTCTTCTTCTTCTTCATCCTCCTCTTCTTCTTCATCCTCTTCTTCTTCATCCTCTTCATCCTCTTCTTCTTCATCCTCTTCTTCTTCATCCTCTTCTTCTTCATCCTCTTCTTCATCCTTCTTTTTGTCTTCCTCTTGCAGGTCACTGCTCATGCGCAGATTTTTTTATTGGTAAAAAGATCGGCCGA